GAATGCACGTGCTGCCGAGTTCGCCGACCACCCCGAGTCCGAGTTGATTAAGGTGAAGTTTTTTGATTTTTGATATAATATTTTTTTTCTATTTTAAAAATTGATCGTGAATTCCGTGAGCAGTTAATCAGATAATTAGCAGGCACTAATTACATAGGCCTCGTAGTCCCGTGTAATTAAAAACCCACTTCAGCAAAATCGATCGTTTTTTGCCAACGTGGGCAAAAAACGGTCGAAATTGCTAATATTATTTGGAAACGGTCGATTTTGCCTATTTTATTTAAAAAACGCTTCATTTTAAAAATTTCTCCATTAAATAATAATAATAATAGTAAGTATGAAGCCTAATTGCCATAAACCTAAGTCAGTTTCGAAAACCAAGAAAACTGAGCAAAAGACAAACTGAATCTTCAAAATCATAACTTAAATGACAAAAAGTAACCATAAAAACTCAATTAAATATTAAATTAGAAACCCCTAAATTCTATATAAAAAGAGGAAACCCCTAAAAAATAAATCTTCAAAAACTTAAATAACATACACTTTTAACTCCTCACAATCTTCTCCACTCCTCTCGCTATTGACCCCAACAGACTGAGGAGAGGTTGAGGGTTGTTTTTTGAACCCGGTAACAGAAAAAAGAAACCTAAATTTCTGAATTTCTTTGAGCAAAAAGAAGTATGTATGTGCAAAGTGGGAACTCAGAAGAATAATTCGGAGTTTCATCTTATACGAGAGAGAGATGAGGTTTGTTTGGGAACTCAGCCTATTAAACGTAGGGAGCTTTGGCCTGGGGATCTTCACGTCTTACCAAGATTTTCCTCGTATTCAAAGAAAAAAAAAACCTGTACAAATTGAACTATTTTTTTTTATTTCCAAAAATGAAGCTTTCATCTATGTGCTTTGGACCACCCCTAACTTTGTCCAATTCTGATTCTGGAAATTGCCAAACACACTCAAAGTCCTTGATCTTGAATTTATTGGTGTTGGTGCGAGTTGCAAATATCAAGATTCTATACAAAGAGGATCGTGGAAATTGTTATGATCAGTTGAATATTGAATGATGTTGAAGCCTAGTTTTACAAAGGTTATTAGTTCAGCGCTGACGAGAGGCAGATGTTTTCCTAAAAGCTTGCAATCTGACCCATTTTTTCTCTTTCGCCCATTTTAGTATGGAACTTCAAGTTGTTTATGAATAATTTGACTAGACCCACAAAGTCTGTAACCAAAACAATTAACTTACATCTTGTTTTAATCCCTATATAAAAAAACCTATTGTTTGATACATAAGAATCTAGCTAAGTTCGTTAAATGAAATAAGAAATAACATAGAATAAATGTAAGAATAGAATGCTTCTTTCTATCCTCATGTTTGAGTGTCACCAGGGAACAAAGCGAGAAACATAAAAAGTTTAGCTTCTAGACTAGAACAATGCCGGTGATGGTTGCTCACTTGAGCTGATATCAGCCGTGATTGACGATGGCCATTGGCTATATTGCCGCGGTAAAGTATAGTGATATTTCTTTATTTTTCTTAATTAAGTGATAAATTCCCTTTTTTTAATAACTCCTCGAAAATGTTCATTCCCACAAAAATTCTTCCCGATATCATATTCTTTCTCTAAATACCAGTAAAAACCCTGATTATATAACAATTCAGGTCTTTATTGGTCTTCGGAAGTTTCCGTGGGATCAAATTTTGAGTTAGCTTTGACCAAAAAAAATAAAAAAAAATAGAAGTTTACTTGGTCGCTAGGTGAACTATGAAGACTTATATTCACAAAAAAAAACGTGCCTAATACGTCTATATTCACATGGAAAACTAAAACTAAAATTCAGATTTGACTCGTCCACTTGCTGTTGAACTTGGAATTGAGAAAAACATTGATGAAACTTCAGATTCGACTTGCCCGCTCGCTGCTGGAGACCATCTCCCAACTTCTTGCGTACCTCTTCAGCCAATCAAACCTCAACACGTAAGCACCAATCCGAAACTCCATGTTCCAACCTCCACGGCAGATCTTCAACAATCTTTCGCCGGTCCCCCACTCTCTTCCCCCCCAATATTAAACTTCGCAAGCCCAGCCCAAAAACCCTCTTTCCCTCAAATCGCATCCGCCAGCAGAGAGCAACCCTGAGAAAAATCCATGCTCTCTCCGCATTCCTCGCCCGCCAATCCCTGATCCCATCTTACTCTCACTCACCCTCGTCGAGGTCTCCGGCCAATCTCCGGCATCCTCAACGCCCGAACCTAGCATCCGACGCGTCTCCGGCGGCGACGCCGCTGGCGCTGAGGATGCCGCTTCTTAATCCAGGCACCGAGCGAGCCGGGAAAGATTGCGATGTACTCGCCGGCGTTCTACGCCGCCTGCACCTTTGGAGGGATCTTGAGCTGTGGATTGACTCACATGGCCGTTACTCCTCTCGATCTCGTCAAATGTAACATGCAGGTGATTGACTCTTTCTGTTTCTTGATGGGATCTGTTTCGTTTGCTGGGGATCTGTTGATTTGATGGTTTTGATCTGGGGAATGGAATAAGTTGATGATTTTAGATCTGTGGTGTTATGAGCTTGAAGCTGGAGATCTAGTAGAATTCCTTCTTAATTAGATAGATGAGTGGTTATTATATTTTAGAATGATCTATTTGATGATCATTTTTCTAGAACCAATTTTATGGCATGTCTGTTACTATATTTTTCAAGTCCAATTTTCATGTGTCCGTTGGTAATTCCTTAGCTTGGAAATCATTTCGATCGTGATGACCTGACGTAAACTAAATCAGCTGCCAAAGTGGGAACCCGAACTGTTTCGTTTTTTAAGGCCCAACCAACCATGGTTCACATAGGTTGGCCCCCCTCTACATGTTAGGGAGACATTTCTTTTAGGGACAAATTTTCAAAATCAACCAAATTCGAGAATTAATTAGCAAAATCGACCTATTTGAACTTTAATCAGCAAAACCGACCCTTTTCTTCTGAAAAGGATCGGTTTTGCTGGCGAAAATTTTTTACGACATACACGGGACTGCTAGTCCCGTGTATTTCGTGACAGTTTCGAATAACACGGGACTAGCAGTCCCGTGTTTTTTCCAGAGACCAACATCTCTGCGAAAATGAAGTGCACGGGACTGTTAGTCCCGTGCACTTCCTGGGCGCAATGAAATGCACGGGACTAGCAGTCCCGTGCATTTCCTGCACATTCACTAACGTATTTCTGCTACGGGATAATTCCCTGTACAAACTCATATTTCAAATGCAACAATCATAAATTACACCATTGCATAAACATATATATCAATTCCCTGTACAAACTCATATGTCAATTCCCTGTATAAACACATATCAAATCTAAAAATCATAAAATACACCACAAACTTACGAATCCAAATCCAACAAATCACGCCACAAACCCACTTACAAATCTAATAAGTCACACCACAATCTCAGCTACAAATCCAAAAACCATCTATTGTCCCGAAATACGTTTGTAATGTACATATCAAAATAGGATTGTAATTTATATAACAATACCAATTAGCTTACATACATCCAAGAACTCTTCTCCTCCTCCTTTGTCTTCGGCCTCCTCTATCCCGACCTTCGATGAGTTCATGATCCGGTTGCGTTTGTGGTTGTGACGATCCAGCTCCATCGTCAGCACGTTGGGAAGGCCCAGCTTCATTGTCGTTTCTGCGTCGTCCTCGTCTGTGTCGTTGTTGACGTGTGTATACTAATTGAGGTACTTCTCGTCCATCATGAAGGTCTTCATGAGTTGCTGATACCTGCAAATTTTTAAAAAAACATAATTTAGCAATATTGAAAAATTCTAATAAAAATGAAGTTAAAATAAATTTGAAAATACTTACTAATTCTCTCTCATCTATACCCCGAGGCACATATCCTCTTTGCAACTCAACCGGGAATGTGGTCGTATGGAGTATCCATCTTCTAGTTATCCTCCAATACCAAGTGTAGTAATCTGATTCCTGGGGAGTTGGCTCGATTTGCTCAACAATACAAAAATGTCTATCATTCCATCTGTGTATATAATTTTGATGCTCAGCTGCCCAGTCCTTTTGTTGGCCTCCTTTCTTCGCCTTCCTCTCTATTTTTTTAACAGATTGCGGAACATGTTGTGCAAGACCAAATTGTCGAAGCACGCGGTCCGGTACATGCATTTCTACTATCTCGAAACATATTAGAGGAACTCTGGCTCTCCATATAACTGGGTATTCTGTGCATATCGGGGGTAGATGATCAAGAAATAGGGTGTAGGGCTCCCATTCCATCTACAGAGTATTACATATAATTGTTGCATATCATTAAAATGAAAGTTGATATATAGAAGAAAAAACTTGTTTTTATAGAAATGATCCCGGAAAAATCTTCATGCGGTCAAGCTCATTTCGGTAGAAATCTAACTGTCTCGTCGGGGTCTCGTCAAAATATTTTTGGACATTCCATCTGTGTTAGTTTCAAAATTCAGTATCAAATGAATAACTACAATTATATTTACTACGTTAAAAAATAAAATACATGCATCCTAGTGGAATTTGTCCGTCTAATTGTAAATTCACGCATAGTCTCGGCTTAAAATGCAGCCTCTCCCATGCCCATACTTGCAGTAAGCTGAGACATCCTTTGAGGTCACTATTTTTTATGAATGCAACCTTAGACATCTCTCTATATAGGTACGCCAAAACCGCACTACCCCACGATAACGCACCACACGTGTCCAAGTCCCCGCTAAGTGGTAACCACCTAGCATTTTCACAACATTTCAAGTTATTAAAATAAGCTAAATCAACAGACATAATTGTAAATACTGATAAAAATGATACCTGGCATGCACTTTATCTTTACTCGAATCTGAAAATAATATTGAACCGATTATGTGCATAATGTATGCACGTGCATGTTGCTCAATCAATATTTGCGGCACATCAAAAGGCAACGGTACCGAGAATGTATTTTTTAGCCACTTCAATTTAATATTTCCTCCAGGCATTGACTCTGGAGCTACACCTAACAACTCCTCACACTTGTCCGGTCAAAAATGTCTATCACTGCCGGTAACGCACGGACCATCTATGCGGAGATCAAGTATCATAGCTACATCCTGTAGCGTAATAGTAGACTCTCTCATTCGGAAGTGGAAAGCGTTGGTCTCCGGCCTCCACCTATCTATCAAAACGGTGAGTAGGGGCCAATCGAGCCTTATCCAACGAAGCTTTGAACATGTCAAGAAGCCGGCCCGTCCTACAGCTGCTATTATGCGCTCATCCTCTAGATGCCAACGGCTATAGCTGAGGCTATGATCAACCATAACAATATCCGGGCCTCTCTGTAAAGCAAATGAATATATAAGAATACAATATTATAAGAATGCAATATTGAAATTATAAGAAACTTAGTTACCTCTGTAAAGGATATAACATGTAAACGGTGTCGAGGCTGGTCATATAGGACCTCATCACTAGTCGGTCCAGGCTCCATGGTGTATATACCTGCACATACAATTATAACATATCAATAACCAATCCACGACTAATTATATTGTCTACATTAAAATAAATCACAATTTAAATATGTCAATTATTACCAATTAATTGCTATCTATTGAGTCTAGCTGGACAACGAGGTCGAGTATGTCCCGGTTGTTTGCAAAGACTACATTTTTTATGCTTGACAATTCCTTCTCGTCCTTGATCCATTAAGGTCGAGTATGTCCCAGTCTACACCGTCCTCACCCCTTTTGTTGAAGTATGAGTTTAGCCTATAGAACGTTCTTGTAACCAATGATTGTATTGGCATAGCTCGTGCTCCTTTAAGAACGCCGTTAAAGCTCTCGGAGCAATTAGTTGTCATCATGCAAAACCGCACACCCTCATCCTTACATAATGCTCATCGATGCTCGAATTGAGGCTTCAAGTTATGTTCAATCCAATTATGTGCATCTAATGACAAAGACTTGATCTTCTCTCTACAATGTTCATACACTAATGTATCGGTTGCACACCCAGCTTGCCACAAAAGATTTTGCAAATTAATCTTACCGTGTTTTTTCTTAAAATTATCTCTTATATGCCTCAAACAATATCGATGGTGATGTGGTGCACCAAAACCCTCATGTAATGCCCTTATAATTCCTTTCATCCTATCTGAGATAAAAGTAATTAATCTGGGCGCACGGACACTAGGAATCCACTTGTATATAAGTTCAAAGAACCACTTCCAACTAGAAGTATCCTCTACCTCCACAACTGCAAATGCTAGAGGAAATAAACCGCCATTTGCATCTACACCGGTCGCCACAAGAAGCACGCCTTTGTACTTGCTATATAGATGTGTACCATTAATGCTCAATAACGGACGACAAAAAGTGAAGCCCTTAATAGCCGGACCAAATGCCCAAAATACTCGAGTGAACCTCTCCATCCCCGGTGCAATCTCTTCAGACAATATTTCATATTCAGTACCCGGATTATTTCGCTTGATAGCTTCGAGATACTGTGGAAGTAATTCATAAGATTTTTCCCAATCTCCAAATATTTTCGACAACGCTTTCCTCCTTGCATCATATGCCTTATATTTAGATATCTTAATGCCCCGCATATCATATACCCTTTGAAATATCTGACTTGCATTTAGATCAAGTTCAGCTCTAACTTCAGGCATAATTAGCTTACATATATAAGAGGAAGATGCAGAATAATGATCGACGTCCACCGACGGATTGCAACATGTATGAAGCCCGCAATATCTAGATATTACAAATTGCCCATTTGTTGATTTCCTCACAGCGGTATTTAGCAACCAAGGACATTTTCTGTTTCTCTCATCTTGCTCATTTGCATGCTCTACTTCATTCTTCTTGTTGAAATAACATTTTACATAGTAGTTGGTTGTATTAGTTTTTACAGGCTTGAATTTGACCCGATTTTTTATAGACCATTCTCGCACCGCAAAGATCAATGCTTCCTTGCTCTCGAATAGGTCCCCTTTTTTAAAAGTGAAGTCTTCAGGCCGTTGAAAGTTTGGACCAACATCAACAAATTCAGCTTGCGAAGTATTTATCCAATCTTCATTATGAAACTCGTCGGGCAACGGATCTTCAGCTTCCACATAATCATTGTTAACATTAAATTGATCCATCCAACGAGAATCTTCATCGATTCCAACTGCCATATTCATGCTATCAATTTGCACGTCTTCTTCTTCAATATCTTCTGAGTCATCATTTACTTCTTCTTCTACAATTGATCCGGCCGGTAGATCACCCGTAACATAGCCCGATGCGTCATTAAATATAGTACTTGACGTCCTACCAAGAGAATGCCCACTTAAATGTTGTAGTTGACACCACGGCTCTTGACTTGGAGATGTCATAAAACCACTCGACTCATTGTCTAAGTCCATCATCCGAGAAAACTCTCCTTGTGGTCGTGAAACTTGGGCAAATTCTTGAATCGGATACTTCTCAATGAACAACTCAACTGACACTTGCTTCTCCACTAATTGTTTCATGTCATTCAATTCCTCATCGTCGGTAATCGCCACAGCAATAGTTCTACTCTCATTTATCGGACAATTGAAGAACACTTTAATTGCATACCATGCTTTATTAATTTTCGTAACTCTGTATATTTCATTCATCATTCCATCAAAATTTAATGACTTGGATAGCATAAACATTTTCCTAGAACCTCCCTCATACATCGGCATACTATTCAATCCGACGCCGAGGCTCCCATTGAAGGAGCAAACAATGGGTATAGAGTTTGCCATCGAAGTTGAAAATCAACAGTCCATCATATGTAAATAATCTATTATAACTGTAAATATTAATCTTAATTTAAAGTCAAATTTAAAACCCTAATCTCAACTACAAAGCAAATAATTGCTAAATTCCCTAATCCCAAATCACATTATTCATGTCTAAACCCTAATTATGGTTAAACCCTAATATCAAATCACATTATTCATGTCTAAACCCTAATCACATTATTCATGACTAAACCCTAATTCCCTAATATCAACTAAATACATTCCCAAATTTCAACCTTAATCCCAAATCTCAATTAAATCCATTCCCAAATCTCAACCCTAATTCCCAAATCTCAACCCAAATCGATTCCCAAATCTGAAATTTCATGGCTAATCAACAAAAAAAAAACCACATTTACCTTGGTCGCCGGCGGCGGTCGGAGCGAACTTGGTCGGCGGCGACGGTGGTCGGAGGGTCCTTGGTCGGCGGCGGCAGTGGTCGGAGAGTCCTTGGGCGGTGGTCGGTGTCGGCGTCGATGGGTTTGAGGAGTGGGTGAAAGAGGGGGGGGGGGGGGGTGAAAGGGTCTGGGTGAAAAGGAGTGCGGTGAAATTCACGGGTGGGTTTTTTACCCCCCGATCGCACGGGACTGCTAGTCCCGTGTTATTCGAAACTGCCACGAAATACACGGGACTAGCAGTCCCGTGTATGTCGTAAAAACTTTTCGCCAGCAAAACCGATCCTTTTCAGAAGAAAAGGGTCGGTTTTGCTGATTAAAGTTCAAATAGGTCGATTTTGCTAATTAATTCTCGAATTTGGTTGATTTTGAAAATTTGTCCTTCATTTAGTTGTGAACATAATAAATATGTATTATATATTATGTGCTTTTATTAAGGGTTTTTTTGTATGTATACACCCAAATGATTTTTATTTGCCAATTTACCTCCCCAATCTAGATATTTGCTGTTTATAACCTTAAATTTATCATGTTGAATTTCAATAGTATTCCCTCTTAGATGGAATAAACCCAGTATAGTCCACCACATTCTTTGATAAATTCAAAAATAAATAAATATAAAAAAAAGGCTAATTTACCCCTAATTGAATTAATTGAAGCAAATTAATTTCTAATTAACTTTAAACAGAGTAAAAGAGATGGAGAGGGGATCAGAGGCAATGATCCCCGGCGACACTGGCCTCTATGGTGCATGAGTAAGGGTATGGGTACAGGATACAGAAAATTTGTAAATAGTAGGGTATGGGGACACGGTTGTATATTATACTATATTATATATATTATTTGTAGGAGAAGAAACATATACAGTTTCTTTATATATGAACATGAACACATCTTATGAAGGCTCACAGTGAATTTATGCAGCATATTTGAATTTCTGTAATGAAAAACAATACTTTAGTCATCATAGTATTTGACTCCATATTACTATAGCCATCTACTGAATTTAGGCAATAATGAAACTCTATCATCAAACTGATCTCAGTACTTAAAATTTGCATTAAGTAGATAGCCATCAGGTCCATGTGTGAGCAATGAAATGAATTTTTTCCGACAAGATAAAAAAAGTAAGTATGAAGCCTAATTGCCATAAACCAAAGTAAGTCTTGAAAACCAAGAAAACTGACCAAAAAGCAAACTGAATCTTCAAAATCATAGCTTAAATGACAAAAATGCAACCACAAAGAACAAAAATGCAACCACAAAGAACAAAAATGCAACCTACATTAAATTAGAAACCCCTAAATTCTATATAAAAAGAGGAAACCCTAAAAATAAAATCTTCAAAACTTAAATAACATACACTTTAACTCTTTATTATCCTTCTTCACACCTCTCTTCTTCACACCTCTCTCTATTGACCCTGAGAAAGTGAGGGTCCGAACCTGAAGAGATTGGATCATTGGAGAGAGCGTTTATTTGAGAGAAATGAGAATAGGATTCATTATCTCAATCTTTAATATGTGGGTCATGGGTTAATGGTTTCAAAACGAAATATTTTTGGAACCCGGTAACAGAAGAAAAACCCAAATTTCTGATTTTTTTTGCGCGATCCGGGCTGAGGAGATCTCGTGTGTCTAGGGCGTGTCACACATGTACCCGTGGCCAAAACGGGTTGGGCACGGGTACGGTAGCTATGAACCTATACCCAGATATCAAAGCTAGCAATAGAGGGGAGTGCAATGACGAGGCAAGGAGGAATTTCGCGGAAGGTCGTGGTGACCGCCACTGGCGAGGCCATCCCTCCCATCTAGTTTAATGAAGGGGATAAGGGTAAATTAAATAATTTACCCTCCAATTTGTTAATTAACGATGTTAAACTTGAGGTGTAGAAAGAACCAATATGGGAGAATTGAGAGTAAATTTGCAAGTAGGAACGATTTGGAAAGTATATATGCAAAAAAGTAAAGAAGAATATATATATATAGAGTAAAACTTGTGTCAACTTAAGTGGACGTCCACTAAGTTTCTTACACATTGATGATCACTTGATTGAGCTGCTTTGTGGATGATCCGCTCCGTTGAACTTGATCTACATATTCTAAAACCCCAACACACCAAATTTGGGTTGAATCCGTCATGGTTTGACCCTTGATATTAGAGAACTAGGAGAACTTCCTCCTAGAGCTAGCTGCTACAAGGGAGAAATATTAAGTCCCTATGACACTCATCACATTATTTGTAAAGTCAGTATGGAACCACGCACACACACAAAGGGGTTGGGGTGTGATATTAGAGAACTAGGAGAACTTCCTCCTAGAGCTAGCTGCTACAAGGGAGAAATATTAAGTCCCTATGACACTCATCACATTATTTGTAAAGTCAGTATGGAACCACGCACACACACAAAGGGGTTGGGGTGTGATATTAGAGAACTAGGAGAACTTCCTCCTAGAGCTAGCTGCTACAAGGGAGAAATATTAAGTCCCTATGACACTCATCACATTATTTGTAAAGTCAGTATGGAACCACGCACACACACAAAGGGGTTGGGGTGTGATATTAGAGAACTAGGAGAACTTCCTCCTAGAGCTAGCTGCTACAAGGGAGAAATATTAAGTCCCTATGACACTCATCACATTATTTGTAAAGTCAGTATGGAACCACGCACACACACAAAGGGGTTGGGGTGTGATATTAGAGAACTAGGAGAACTTCCTCCTAGAGCTAGCTGCTACAAGGGAGAAATATTAAGTCCCTATGACACTCATCACATTATTTGTAAAGTCAGTATGGAACCACGCACACACACAAAGGGGTTGGGGTGTGATATTAGAGAACTAGGAGAACTTCCTCCTAGAGCTAGCTGCTACAAGGGAGAAATATTAAGTCCCTATGACACTCATCACATTATTCGTAAAGTCAGTATGGAACCAACGTGGTACCAACATACCACTGCTTCTGCCATTTTAGTGTCCGTTGGGTCAGGCTTTGCACATGCCTTAGTCCTGACGAGGCTTTGCAATATGTTTGTCACCACTTTGACTTTCCTCTATTCCGGGCAAACATTGTATTTTTGGCATCACCACCTATGTTGCACAATTGCAATTGGGATACATCAGATAGGCTTTGATTCCTTCTGTTAGCTGTTGGAAAACACTTCTGTAATCTAGCTGTTAAGGGTGGAGTCCAAATCTTTATAGATGCAAATTAACTTATCCATATTGTGAGACTGAATGGATCTATGATTCTTTCTGCACTGGCCAAGGTTCAATTCCTCTCCTTAACATCTTTCTTTTTTAAATAAATAAATAAGCATTTATTGATGTAGTTTTCCACTCTTATTTTCAATTCACTTCTGAACAAAGCAGGAAAACCTTCTGATTTTGATCCGTCTTTAAAAAAATTGTTGGATAGTTCCTTCTCATCTCATGTTGACTGTTTCTCTGCGATGAAATATTCACTTCTTGATTCTTATTCTTTTTATCTTGATAGGAATTTCATTGGATGTCAGCTAGAACCTCAATTTTGTTTTCAGGCCAAATTTATTAATATTGTCTGTGCTTGCCATTAGATTGATCCTGCGAAGTACAAGAGCATCTCATCAGGATTTGGAGTTTTGTTAAAAGAGCAGGGAGCCAGAGGATTTTTCAGGGGATGGGTGCCAACCTTGCTTGGCTACAGTGCTCAGGGTGCCTGCAAGTTTGGATTCTATGAATTCTTCAAGAAATACTATTCAGATCTTGCTGGACCTGAGTATGCAACTAAGTACAAGACACTGATCTACTTAGCTGGGTCGGCATCTGCTGAAGTGATTGCCGATGTGGCACTTTGCCCCATGGAAGCTGTAAAAGTTCGGGTCCAGACACAACCAGGTTTTGCTAGAGGATTGAGCGATGGGCTCCCCAAGTTTGTCAAAGCAGAAGGAGCAATGGGGTATGGCTTACCCTAAAATTTGCTTAATTATTTATCTTTTTGACCATGCTTGCTTGGCAACGTGCTTACGAATTTGTTTCTGTTGCTTCGAAATTGAAGGTTGTACAAAGGAATAGTACCACTATGGGGTCGCCAAATTCCTTGTAAGAAATTCTAACTCTTCTTTTAACAACTGATGTGATACAAACATAACTGCATTTTTTTATACATATATATGTACATGTATGCATACATACAGATATTTGTATTTATGTACGGCAAAAATGTGTATAAGGTGACAACTCATTTTGCTAAATGAGTTTACCAAGAGATAGACGTGGTGAGTCCCATTCTGCTGATCACATTGGAAGGTGTGGACCCCATCACTTCTATCTATTGGTAGCTCATTTTTTCTAAATGAGCCACTACCACATAGCCATCAAGCCTAATATGTATTTTATATTGTGTTTTGAGTGCTTAAAAAATTGATTTCTGGATATAACTGCTGACAAGATGTTTTTGTGGTTTATCCACTGTTAACGAATTCTAAAATTGGGCCATGTTCCCTTAATTATTTCTTGTCTTCACATGAACATGGATATTAAATCATGCAATTGTACAGTGATACATAACGTATGTCTTCACATAAACTTGGATATTAAGTCATTGATATACCAGTCGCTTTGTATAGAAATTAGTTAAAATGATTTATCTTAATCTGTTGAAAGCTTGTATGTTGCTGATAATTTATATTATAGGAAGCTAACACTTTACCTAAGTTGGATATAGTTCTTCGTTTTCTGGCTTTATACATCGTCTTTTTCACCTTGTTTTTGTTTTCTTCATTGAAAAAATTACTTCTACATCATCATATGTGCTTGTTTAGCATATTCTTCTCTTTCAGTTTCTCAAACTTGTTTCTAGCACTTTGACCTTGGGAGTGAAAGTGTGGAACACAGATTATTTGGTTTATAATAAGAAGAAAGTGTGAAATTTAGGTCCTTGGGGAAAAGCTAAATCTTCATCCTATGTGCGTAATTAAAATATGACTTTACATGGTCTGCATGTTGATGTCTATTAGAATTATTTTGTCCTTTTTTGCATAGCCTTTGATTGCTTTAACGAGTTAAGGGTTACTTTTAAATGAAAGCATAACAATATTTGTTATGTTTTCCTGGTAGTTTTTCTTCTTCCACATCTCTCTCTCTCTCTCTATATATATATATATATATAGAGAGAGAGAGTAAAACTCCTATCCACTTAAGTGGATAGGAGACCTTGTCCACCAAACTTTTTATCCACTCATCTTGTCTCAAGATTTGTGCCATCAAAAGATGCACAAATCTTAAAAGATTCTTCATATCTATCACGGATCTCAATGCAATATCTCAATGCAATATCAACGGTTAAAAAAGTTGGTGGATGCCTTATTCCTATCCACTTAAGTTGACATAAGCTTTTACCTATATATATATACTCCTATTCACTTAAGTGGATAGGAGGCCTTGTCCACCAAGCTTTTTATCCACTCATCTTGTCTCAAAATTTGTGCCATCAAAAGATGCACAAATCTTAAAAGATTCTTCATATCTATCACGGATCCTAATGCAATATCAACGGTTAAAAAAGTTAGTGGATGACTTATTCCTATCCACTTAAGTTGACATAAGCTTTTACCTATAGAGTAAAACTCCTATTCACTTAAGTGGATAGGAGGCCTTGTCCACCAAACTTTTTATCCACTCATCTTGTCTCAAGATTTGTGCCATCAAAAGATGCACAAATCTTAAAAGATTCTTCATATCTATCACGGATCCTAATGCAATATCAACGGTTAAAAAAGTTAGTGGATGACTTATTCCTATCCACTTAAGTTGACATAAGCTTTTACCTATATATATATATATATATATCCGTATCCGATTTTAGTAGATATGGATATGAATTTTCCTTACTGAGATATATCCTTATTCGTATCCATATATGAGATGTGTAAGCGGATATGGATATGGTAAGTATTAATAAGTCTCTTCATATCTTTCATGGATCCCTAGGCAACATCAACGGGTAAGAAAGTAGGTGGATGATCCACTTAAGTTGACATAAGAATTTCTATATATACATATATATACATACACACACACATATTCTAGTTTACATTTTTTTTTTGCAATCTCCATTTTTTTGCGTGCATAAAAGAAACTGATCATCTACAGAGCATAAAAATACGTTAGCATGGTCTTTTGTGATCATGCAAAGAGATGGTGCTCACTTCTTGATTGGTGCTGACTTCTTGATTGGACCGTGAGCTTTCTTTTTATTCCCAAATAACCTTCAAACAGGGAGATGGATCTCATGGTCCTCATTGTGTTCCCATGTGCTTGGTTGGTTTAGTTAGAGAATGGGCTCACAAAATGAAGAGGAAGGCTTTATTTACCTCTGAAGAAAAATGTAATTAAAGAAGGAATAGCAACTGTGCCACCAAGTATATTTATTGATTATGGTAGATTGCATTTATCCCTCCCAAGGTTGGCAAGAGTGTCCCCCCCCCCCCCGCACCCAAAAAAAAAAGAACACGCACACACAAAAATCAAAACCAAGAAAATGTTAGTTTTTGTGGAATTTATGTTTTTTTGGGCGGATTAGTTAAACTAGTGTAGTACATCTAAGAGCTCAATAGGGACAGTTTGTAGTACTATCAGATCTGATTGGAACTTTAATTGTATTGCTTTATGACTGAGATCTGGTTGTGAGAATTTTCGTGCGTATGGAGGGAGAGAGATTGCAACAATTGTCTTTTTAATATAAAGTCATGCCTTAGTAATCTAATTTTTTTTGCAGACACGATGATGAAATTTGCGTCATTTGAGACCATTGTTGAGATGCTCTACAAGTATGCCATTCCCACACCAAAGGACCAGTGCAGCAAGACTCTTCAGCTGGGAGTCAGCTTTGCGGGTGGTTATGTTGCTGGAGTGTTCTGTGCTGTTGTCTCTCACCCGGCTGACAATCTTGTGTCTTTCCTGAATAATGCTAAGGGCGCAACTGTTGGTGATGTAAGTATTATGGAGCACAGTCTTGCATCTTGATTATATCATTGTTTTAATATATGGTTGTTGGCTTGTATATTTCTTTATCTACTCATTCTATGATTTTAATCATAATCAGGCTGTGAAGAAGCTTGGAATGTTGGGCTTGTTCACCCGTGGGCTGCCTCTCCGAATTGTCATGATTGGTACTTTGACGGGAGCGCAATGGGGAATTTATGATGCTTTCAAAGTCTTTGTTGGCCTGTATGTACCCATTTACTTATATCTCATATTAGTTACTTTCCGTAACAGGCCAATAATGGCTTCTCATGGCAGTCACTTATTTTGGTTATACATATTTATTTACATGGATAACTTTTACAAGAAATGTTGTCTCATGTGGTAATTTGTTTGAGTAAATGATAGTAAGGTTGTATTTGGCAAGTGGAGTCAGAGTAGACTTAAAGCCAGTTTGTCATATTTTTAGTGGAAACATCAACATATGGCATTCCAGACCGACGAAAGACGAGCGTTGAGAAGGGAAAAATAAAATAAAATAGAGACACTCTGCTGTGATATGTGGAGATGGGATTTCAACTAAGATATTTGAGAGTAGACATACACAGTTAGACAGAAACCTTATAAAAATATCCTAAAACCTGGATGTTGTTATAGTACATTAGTACTCATAATATTTATATTGGGACAAACATTATTCTGTAGACTTTCCATGTTTATCATAATGCAGAATGGCACTTATTTCCCATATCTTGGATTAGAATTGCTAGGTTTCTCAGAAGTGCTCATACTTATTTCTTGTTTCAGGCCAACAACGGGTGGAGCTGCTCCTGCTACACCCACGCTCCAACCTGCAAAATGAGCAGTTGCATCAAGTAGCTGCAGAGCGATTTAGGGATTTTATTTAATAACAAGACTCACTGATTGATTTGCTCCTCTGCCAATGGAGTGTATACTATTTTTTATGAAGCATAGTTATATCTCCTATCGCAGCTTGTAGAATATCTAGGGATGGTTTTGTTCTCATCCTTCAGATACGAGAAAAGCAAAATGGGAAAGCTTTTTTGGTATAGGAGCACATTTTTAGTAGATAATAAATTTTGGACTAGAGGCAGTGATCTGCCCTGTTGTACCTTCCATTGTTGTATTCAAATTTTAATTTGCATCTTTGTTTCCTGGCATTATTGTCAATTTTCTCAGGTTATGCTTAGGGGGTGTTTGGTTCAATTTCTAGAAATTATAGGAAATGTTTTCCACCTAAAATTTGATTTCCTTGTATTTCTTAAAAAAATTATAGGAAAAGTTTTGAGAAATCAAAAAGTACCAATTTTCTTGTTTTTTGTACTTTGTTTGTTTGGTTCAAAATAAGAAAATAGCTCATAACTTTATAGAAAATAACAAGATTTGGTAGGTTTTTAATTAAATATGGTATGTGTCAGATTTCTGGTGATTTCCTCTCATTTTGAGAGGAAATTGTTTTTTTGTAAAATTTGGTAGGTTTTGGTATTTTATAGAAAATATTTCTGTAAATTTTTTGTTGAACCAAACACAATTTTCAGAAATCTCTGGAAAACTTTTAATTACAAATTTTCTGAAAAATTTTTAATTACAAATTTGCTATTGTCAGATGTTTTGAGAAAAGTTTTCTCAAAAAGTGTGCAACCAAACAGCCCCTTAAACAAACAATTTTCTCAAGATGGATATATGTCAAGCGATATGCCCTTGATACGATATTATTGAAGCAGAAAAGAAGCATTATCTACTGTGAAAATTTTTATAGGTACTCTGCACTACTGAGCCGTTTTATATTGGAATTGAATCTCGTAGACCAACTTTACTCTAACGAGGCTTGTAAGTTTCTCTAGATACATTTTTTAGCATGAGATGGGATTTCTCATGTGAAATTCAGCATACGATCAAGTTTTGATCAGTGTTAGATCGAGATACAGTATGGGTTTTATCAGATTTGGTTCGAACTGAATATGTTTGAGAATGGCAGAAGCTGGTTTGCATAAGTCATATCTGCCACGAGAGTTGCGAGTTGCTAGCTATGCTACAATGATATGTTTAATTCGTCCAAAAGCCTCGATTTTGGCTAATTGAATCCGACGGGGAGATAAGCCAGGAGCTCTTTCAACAGTGCAAGCAAGTTTGGCCCGGAGCACGGGGCCTCTTTCAAGTATCGTGGTTTAAATATGAGGCGCTCAAAGATCAAAGCTAGCGGAATAAAGGCGAGACTGAACTCGACGCAAACAGAAAGAAACCTGCTTGTTATTATCTACGAGACTATGATTCAAAATGCGCGTAATGAGAGTGACATTCACCGTAAGCCAGTGCTTGCGTCCTTTCACGCGAACCTTTTGGAGAACCAATTAAGCCTTTTATCCTGCAGGGGTTCTAAGTCCATACAAATTTACTCTGATGTGGGTGTAAAATTGTACATTTTTACCATTTAGTTCTTCAGACCAGTGCAAATATCTGCGTGACAGGTTACTCATCACCTTGACACTTTGTTGGAACTTGGTACTAGTTACGAGCAACGGGACAATAAACTGGCAACTAGTCGTACATCTTTCTGAAGTAACAAGGCAGAAGATACTACTACTCCTGTATCCAGTATTCTCATTACTTTTTTGCGTTGCTCAATGGATATTCCTTGTACGTTAGAGTTGCCTCTAATTCCTTGATCATGGCTTTCGATAGACCAGAATTTGAAAACAAGGGAAAAAAAAAAAGAGTCAGCGGAAAACAAGAAAAAAGAGCCTTTTGGTCAAAAAGCGTCATCCAGTGCCTCAAGAACACACAGATTCCTGCACCCTCTTAAGCTCTTCTACTGTAGTGCAAAATCATCACTCGGTCGGTGGTAATCGCCCGGTTCAGGGGCGTAATCGTAAATGTGGGCATCGGGCACCATATGTCGTCCCTAATGTGTTGCAGTGTCAATAAAGAGTGAAGCTGTTGGCCTCTACAAGTAATTTCAACCTGCAGGTTCAGTCGAAGAACTGCAAGTCAAACAAATTAAGATACAACAAGCGAACAAAAACTATGGAGCAAAACTGTTTATTAGTTAAATCATCCATGCTCTCAAACTCACATGCACTGACAAAAAACCAATGCTTAAATTACGATCTAAGCAAAATCAGTTCAAATTCTACGCGGCTTCTTTTTAACACATGTCAAATTTATTTCAGGTCCATTATAAGCCAAACAAAGTTTATTAACAAGTACATTATAAGCCAAATATCATTATTGATTTTTCAGTGAATAAAACATAATTGTATGTGCTTATTTTATTTCTGTTATCAACAAGCATGATGATGATGAATTGCGAGGACAAATAACGAAGTTTCAAGGTATCTGGTTTTTGAAGACTAAGGACCTAAAACCTGCGAGTACTACACACACACACACACACACACACTAAAGACTCTGTTTAGCATTGGTCAGAATTAGTCCGGGGGAGGTGTACCAATTCTAGCCTGGTTTTAAGGCCAAAAATGGACCGAGGTTTGTGTTCATCAACAGAAAGTTTTAATTTATTTTCTGGTTGGGAAATTTTAGGCCAACCAGAAAATAAATCTTAGCCAACATAACCTCTTTTCCCCCAATCCAACTTGCAAATCTTAGCCCACAATATATAGTTAGTTAGCTTTTGCTAACCCCACTTGCTATCTAAAGCATGGATTGCCAAAAAAGCATCCCCTACGCCGTGGCACATTCGCTCTCACATGACATGAGAAGACATCGCATGCACGTCCTTCTCACGTCAGCTCTCTAATTAATTTATTGCATCTCAGTAATTAATCATATATTAGAAGCCAAAACAAGTCAATGTTCTCCTAACCAATCATCCAACTCAAGACAAATTCTCACACTAATTAATTACTAAAAGCTAATGGAATGATGAATGGACACACTTGCCCACCTACTTGATTTCAAGCCCGGCCGCATCAAATCATTAAACAATATGGATGCTTAATTCATTGTCTTTTGCCCAATTTCCTTTTAGTATCCTTCTTTAATTAATTAATGGTTCCTATGTCACCTACTCGGAATGATTCTATGGTTGATAATGGATTTCCATGCATATATATTGTGTGCCCTTTTTCATCATGGCCCATCTAATTACTATTGTATCCTTAATATTCCATCAAAGCGCACCACTTAAGGCCACAGCAATCCTAAGAAGGGAAGGGAAGGGGGGGTCCTACTTCTTATAAGGCCCACTAAGTGGCGTGTCGTTAGTTGGGTGTAAGCATGACGTTTGCCCTCATATATACGTAGCTAGATCGATCGAAGCCATTTATTTGCTTAAATTGGACTAGCTCATGTTGTTAGTTGTTGACATTAATCTTATGTTTGCATGCTAAGGGTTGGGTGGGTGCAAGAAGGATCGGCTTATAAGGTTGAAGTGTCAATTTATATCCAAAAAATGTTGTAACGCAACGAAAACACGCATACCCTCACTATCAATCATGTGTCATAATGATGGTCACAAGAGTGTAAGTCCTGCAAACTTATGATATATGTATAAAGTACGAAGAAATAAGCAAGCAAGCAAGCAAGGAAGCATATTAGCACAAGGAAGCTAACTATCATATTAATATGACAAAGTCCAAGGCACGACTAATTGATCGTGTAATGCATATATATATTACTAGTATTTTGGATTTTAGGGATTTGGGTCTTAATCATTGAAGGTAGTTTTTTTTAGGAATCACGTGAAATGCATCTAATTTTGTTTAGGTAATGATTGAATGTCCAACTGTCGAGGCCATGAAGGGAAGGTGTTTTAAGTTGACACAGCACTACATAAATTTTTTTGTTGTTGCTTTGTTGGTGATTATTCTTCCATTATGCATTCACGACACCAGTTATATATTGAAGTGTTGATTTGATTAAGAGGAGACGCTAATTAAACAAAACATGACACTCAAGGTGTTGGAAACAATGGAATATTTGCGGTTGACATTTAAAACAGAACTATATGCATGCACGAATATTTTAATGAAATAGAATGATGCATGATTTTAGCGTACATAGACTAAACGTTATACCAGTTCGTGAAGCCCATAATTTTATATATCAATATACTATTTCATATTCTATATGTATTAGGTAGGACAGTGTATTAAACAAGTTTGTTAATCATCATCATCATCATCATCATCTATATCTCTTTCTCTCTGTCATTCAAGAAGCGCTGGAGGTTTAAGGTCTAACGTGTTGTAGCATCTATCGTGAAGCTAAAGATAATCAAGGTCAAGTATATATAGGAGCAACAACCGAATTGAAAAGGACAGTCTCGTTCCACTGAAAAATTAAGATGTAAAATTAGAAAATAACCTTAGCGATATGTCCTCATGTAATTCCTCAAGAAGAAAAAGAAGAGAGAGAGAGAGAGAGAGAGAGAGAGAGAGAGAGAGAGGAAGAAAAACGAAAGAATTATAAAAAGTACTCAAATCTCAAGTAACAAAGTAATTCGACAGGACTTGGTAGAAACATCACTGTTAACGTTGCAGAAAACATGGAGGAAATCAAGATCACAAGGCAAGAACTAAAGCATAGAAAAGAACAACAGATGCAAACACAAAGATTTTATGTTGTTTAGAACAAAAGTTTTATTCATAGGCTGCAGCAATAGATAACCTTCACCATATGAGAAGAGAGATTACACCTCACACAGTACACTGGAATACCTCGCCGATGTACTGTCGGTGAGCCCAAAGTGATGTTTCATGCCATATTCCAACACATAATAATGTTAGTGTTAGAATATAAAAAATATAATCCGCAATTCTTACTATATCTTCAAAGTTTTGATGTATTTGTTGGGTCCTTTCACATATATAGTATCATAGCTACCCAGTTCAAATCCTACTGGCCACGACTTTAAAGCGGATTTTAAAAATTAATTTTTACCTCTCCGTGAGTCCAACTTTTAGCCCATAAAAAGGGCCCTCAACCTGTAGATGAAGTTAGCAAAAGAACATACATTGATACCTAGAGACATCTTATGTAACTTGAACCTAAGAAAGAATACATACAAATAACTAAGCTAACTAGTTAAAGGGTTTTTGATGGATACTCATGGGGCACTCTTTAGAGGATATGAGAGGGATAGATCAGAGAAGAGAGCTATAAGAAGAGAAATTAGTGCAAATCATATGACCCACTTGCTATTTATTTCTCTCTATCTTACATCCTCTAAAGAATGCATGTTTAGGATAAAGATAGGCAGCATAACTTGTTGATCGTTAATCAGATAACTTTTCGCACCTCTTCTTCTGTGAGGTAAAATAATCAGTGATTTTCATCATTAAGAAAAAAGAAAAATTACATTTTCAAGAAACAGGTCTCCTTTATAGCTTTCTTTCATGACTGTTTGAATGTTCTTTATGTACCAAAAAGAAACCCACCAAGAACTTTTTCAGTTCCTTGTAGTCATAAATCTGTTTACTGATCAGTTCACCACTAACTAAAAGCTAAAGAATCACCATATGAATGCTACAGTAGTGTTGTCTAAAGGAAAAGCTTTTTACATCAGAACACCTAAAATTTGAAGGTTCCATGTCTTTGGTAGGTATCAACCAATGTTAACAAGGAATATGGGATATTCCTCATGGATCACCTCTAAAATTCATTCCAATACTCTTAAAGATCATCTTTCTTTACTTTCCGAAATAAACACCAAAAGACAATAAAGATAATTAACTCCAACAATTTTTCATAGTAAAGTATCACTCACCGTATATGCGCATACTTGTATCTTAATCAAATCCTTAGCTTTACTGTATACATATCTCCATATATTTGTTTATATATGTCATCAGAATAGGTCCTTGAACCATACACATAATCACCAGACCTTAACTATTTCTCTAATTAATTTAACATTTCAGATAATAAACCACCCTTATATAGCAAATATAGGTATCAAATTTATCTTCTTTTAGTTGAGACTGGATCAGGATAAGTTTAGGAAGGAACCTAGTAGTGGAGGTGGTAAAAATTTGAAGAACTCCTGACCACGCACTATAAGATAATTTTCACTTATAATTATCTAGAGTCTACTCACTCAAGAAAATAATCTTTTTACATCCAAATGAATCTCAAATTAATCACCAAAGCATAGTGAGATATAATGTGCATTTCAGAAGTACACAGTCAACCTAAATCTTACTATAAAAAAGTTAAAAATCCCCACCTGAAATGTTCCTTTCATGGCTTCAAAGCCAACCATTTGTGAGTATGTACACATGCAGGTGAAGTTCTGCTTGTTCACTAATTTATCCTAGCAACCATTGGCAACCTCTTATGCCAAAGATTACATATTACTATTTCATACCAAAGCTTTAAACGAAGCAACATCTAATTAAGAACAAAGATTCATGACAAGAATTATTGGCTTTTTATTACCTGTGATTCATCATCCAATTCCAGCTTCCTAGCCAAGTATTTCATTAGTAACCTAATTGTCATCCTCCCATCCCTACAAAAAAAAAAAAAAAAACCAAGCTTAATTTGTATTATAAAGCCAAGAAACCTATAGCCTAAAACTTCTAAAAAGAAGAAGATTAACAAATAATCGTAACAAAAATATAGAAGGAAAAAAGGAAAAAGATGAAACGAAAAGGGTAGCAAGCAAAAAGTACTTAATCCTCAAGTAGCTCTTTGGAATCTGAGGCAAAAAGGGCTGCTTTCCTCTGCAATAAGTAAACAAATTACAGCCTCATCATGAGAAGATCAAAGCCTACATAAAAAGAACTAGCAAAAGTAAATCTAGAACAATTAAAACAAACAAGAAGAAGATATGGGTTTTTATTCCTATTCCATCAAGAAAAGTAAATTAGCAAAAACAAAAGGTATATATATATCCTTCCTCTCTAACTCACTGGTTTTCTGCTGCCTTGAGCTCGAACCAAAGCCCGGTTGGTGCTCTCGCAGGCGGGCTGATCACCCCAAGCTCAGTCTGCGGGCCAAAAACCTGGCCCAAATTGGTCGATGGAGGCCCAAACTGAGTGATCAATGGATGACCACTGCTAGGGTTTGTAGTAGTATTAGTCATCATTGGCAATTGTGGTCTCTCTGGGAACAGATTGAGCTCCATTAATGATCTCACTCTTGCATTTTCGTGGGTAGTGCTTGAACTGGCGGTGGGGTCCGCTATGCCGATGCCTAATTGGAGCCACCCTTTAAATGAATCATCTCCTTCTTCTTCCTCAGCCATGAAACTTGATTCCAGTGAAGCTTTTTCTTGATTGAGATTGAATTCAAAGTTGGTGATGCTAAAACAATTTCCATAGCTGTTGTATTGCCGACGGAGGAGGTTGTGGGCCGGGGCCATCGTCTTATGCTGATACTGGGTTTGACGTTTGCTATGTAGGTATCAACTAATTTTAACTCGAAAGGAAAATAAGAGAAAAAGAATATGGAATTTTATCCATCAAGGAGTGTTGGAAGAGGAGGTAAACAATAAAAAAGGATAATTAAGGAGAAGATAGACTTTGCGTACATAAATCAAGAAGTGTGGAAGAGGAACATTCGGATTGAAATGCCATGACTTTAGGAGAGACGAAGAAGGTGGCAATTTTGAATCTCACCTCTATTAAAATTTTGCTGGTTTGGGAGTTCGTAAAGGTCAAATACGAGAGAGAGAGAGAGAGAGAGAGAGAGAGAGAGAGAGAGAGAGAGAGAGAGATGTAAGTACTTAGAGAGAGATACAGTTATTCATTTTAGCGGATAAGCAAATATATGAGAGAAATATGATCATGACCTTGAAGACAAGATGGTGAGTTTTTAGAATTCTCATGCGTCTGGGGTGAGTTTGTGAAGGTGAACTAGTGAGATGAGAGGAGAGGGGGGGGGGGGGGAGGGGGATTGGTTGCTTTGTTTTTTTATTTGGTAAATGCAGTCCTGTAGATAAGCAAACATAAGTGAAAAATATGTATTCAACAGCATTCATTTTTTCAATGGCATGCTTATGGAAGTGGCAAGAAAATAATTTTCAACAAAACTTGCATGGTGGGGTCCATTTAAAATAGCTGTGACTCCCTGATTAGCTGGGTGGGTAGTTGTGAGATTACAAGCTTGTTGATGCATCCTCCTATTGGTGAAGTGTCTTGTCTTTGTTGGAAATAGGATTACTTACCGTTTTTTGCATAAAAATAATGTTAGGGGCACAACCCTTAACACACCACCAACCACACCTCCTCTCCCATCGCTACAGTAAACCGGACCCCACATGAGATTTTAAAAATTTTAAAATCCCATGTGAAGCCCGGTTTACTGTAGCGATGGGAGAGGGGGTGTGGTTGGTGGTGTGGTAGGGGGTGTGCCCCTAACACCACTCTTTATATAAATACAGAATATGCAGCGGAAAAGAATAAGTTAGAGTGCTAAGTAGATAAAAAGTAGTAATTCCGATCATAGAACCAAAGAATCACGAACACACAGAAATTTTATAGTGATTCATATAAACAATCATACATTACTCTTTCTTCTCCCGAAGAGGCTTCATCACTATGACACAGTTCTCCTTGATCACAAACCTAATTCAGCAGGTTTACAAGACCGCACTTTAGTTTTAACAAAAAACTAGTCGTCTAACCTAACTCTCACAATGAGTAACTCCTAACCCCAATTAGTTTTCAACTCTTAATTCAGTCAGCTTGAGTATATTGTAAAAGTGTTAGGATGTAATCCGTACAATAGTTCTTGTTTGAGTAATAACAAACTTTCATTTGGTAATAATATTTGTTTGAGATTATATAGTACACGTGAATACAGATATAAGATGTGTGCAATACGAAAATCAGCATAAATGCTTATTTTAGCCTTCATAGCATTGGTGGTCATTTGGGACTCATTGATGGTACGAGGTCATCAATGATCAACAGGAATGAATTGTAGAATTCGATTCATTAATGGTTACGAGGTCATCGATGATTAATAGAAACAAATTATAGAATTCTAAAGATAAGATTTTAGCTAATTAATGGATTACAAGAACCCATCGATGGTGCTTAGGGACCCATTAACGTTTGTGAGCAACCACTAATGGTAAAGTGAGGTGATTGCAGATCTAAGTATTTAATTACAGTCGTTCGTCCTTCCTTTTGATCTCTAACTTCTACCACGTTTATGACGTCTCTTTCCTGATTGATTAAAGATTATATATGGTTGAAAGAGATAAATAGAGGAGAGATATATAGGGTTTTGATTAGAGCTTTAGGGTTTTGATTTGAGAAGATATTGGATTAAAGGTTTTGACCACATAAGTCTCAATAAACTCTTTCTCGTCATGGTTAACATCTTTGGATCATCTCAACAAGGAGAGTTACCCTTAATTTCATCATCTAGATTGTTCTTTATCAATTTTTACTTTGATCTGTTGAAGGACAGTTTGTTAATCGAAAAGGGTTGTAAGATCTTTCTTATTTTTAGTACTTAAGCTATGTTTGTTAGTTTGTTTTAAACTTGCTTTTATGGCATACTGATCAAGCTGGTGTTAATTAAGGAATAGGACTAGTTAGAGCTATGTGTTACTCACTGTGGAGTAGGTTAGACGACTAGTTTCGGATGAATTATAGAATGCAGTCTTTGTAGGCCTAATGAGTTGAGTTATGATTCAAGAGAGCTTTTAGCATAGTGAGGAAGTCCCTTCGTATGAAAAAGAGTGGACATAGGGTTATTATCCGAACCGCTATAAAATATTGTGTGTCCTTAGTTGATTATTATGTTTAGTTAATTATCGTTGTTCATTTTTATTTTATTTATTATGCTGTATTGTCTGTGTTTTTAGTGAAAATGGTAGCAACCCTTTTCACCATCTCTAGGCTCTTATCTCAGATTGAATATGTGGTATCAGAGCCTTGTTACCCATCTTTAGGATTCATAACCTAGCGTAGAGATATCTAGTTTGATCGTTGAGATGGCTTTTCCTGAGGAATATGCTGTGAACCAACTCCCATTTTTCGAGGAGACAAACTACTCACTCCTAGAGTTAAGTGGACCACTTAGAACAAAATGATTTATTCTTTAAACGCAAAGGTTATAAATGCTATTTATTATTTTTTAACTAATGAAGAGTTTAATTGTGTCAAGTTGTTCTACTACGCAAGAAATTTGGAAAACTTTAAAAGTTACAAACGAGAAAACTTCATAGGTAAAAGAGGCAAAACTTACAATGCTTGTGAGTAAGTATGAGAAAGTCAAGATGAAGGTCCCGGAGAGTATTCATGATATGTTCATTCGATTCACGGACATAGTGAACAAATCAAAAGCATTAGGGAAGGAGTATGATAACAAGGAGCTTGAGAGAAAAATTATTCGCTCTCTTTCTAAGGATTAGGAACCAAAGGTAACAGCTATCAAAGAATTATAAACTTTTTTTTGAACTACCTCTTGAAAATCTTATAAGGAATCTTCTCACCTATAACGTGCAATTAAAAGAGAGAGAAGATAATTCATAAGATAATACCAAGAAGAAGTTATTAGCCCTAAAAGCTAAAAAGGAGAAATCCCAATTCAAGAAGAAGAAAGAGTCAAGCTTTAGTTCTAAGGATGAATATAATCATGTTGATCAAATTGTTAAAGATTATAAATCCTTCCTCAAATCAAAGGATGATCAGAAATTCCTACAAGACAAATAGGATTACTATACGCGTAAGGTAAATAAATATAATTCTAGTAATTCTAATACTAAACTAATTTATTTTCGATACACGAAACCCGATCACTTAAGGAAGTATTGCCACTGAATATAAAAGATTATAAGGAAAGGGCAAAAGTTCCAAAGTGACAGCATGGAATGAATCAGAGAATAGCTCACCATATCGTTGTCTCATGGCTAAAGATAGCAATTCAGATTACTCTGAACATGAGAATTCTAATAGTGAGGTATACCCTACGTGTGATGATTTATATTATAAATATAATGAAATATTGGGTTAATTTGAAAAAAATACCAAAAATATTTGTTAAAAAGATAATTTTAAGTCTAAAGAAGGATAATAAATTGTTAGTGATAAAAATTAAAAACTTTCTTTAGAATTAAATACATCTTTTGTATAGAGACTTGAATTTCATTTATAAGAGGTATACAATATTCCATGACAACACCTCAAGTGAGAATACATCTTTTGAAGGCATACAATATTCCATGTATAGAGACTTGGATTGTGATTTATCCAAGCAATTAACTACTAAAATCTATGAAAATGAAAAATTGGTCACTAGGTTAAATGAGTTTTCATGTGAGTTGTGTTCTGAACAAATAAAGTTTTAAACTCGATGCACTACGATAGTTTCTAAAGATGAATAATGAAATTCTAAAAATATTTATTTAGAAAAGATTGCGAAAAAGTTTTTTTTTGCGTTCTAAAGGTTTAAATATGGTCCTTTTGCATAAGTAAAAACTGAACTTGGTTATCTAGTTTTAGATAAATATAAGAAGTTTCAACCTTCTTTTGTAAGAGGATACAATTTACTCTTTTTGCAATCATGTCAAATATATCTTCTACTATTTGTACTTTGTGGGGTTGTAAGTGTCAAAATGCCCGACATGTATATTTTGTAAATTTTTTTTAAAATGGTGCTAGTATCCATCAGAGGAGAAATAATATTTGGGTAGGTTAATCTCTTCTTGACCAAGCCGTATCACTAATCTCAAGGAGAGTAGAGAAATCCCTAAATATTTACTTCTTAGATACATATTAGTATCACTTTGTTGGTAAAAAATGGTGAAGTGCATGCTTCCAGAAATTTATTTCTTTCTGTTAATTACTCTTGTTAAAAGAAACCCCTGATTAATAAAAAGAAAAGAATTAAAAAATCAAATACAAAGAGATATCAAATTTATTATCTTTCTATTGTATTACAAAATTTAAAAGAAAGAAGATGAGATTTTGGGTCTCCAGACAAGATTCTGGAGTCCTCCTCCATTTCAGTAAGAAAAATACAGAGGACATTGTTGTTGTTGTTTCAAACTCTAAGTCTCTCTCTTTTTTTCAATCTCTCCTCCTTTTATCTATCTTTTCTATCATAGTTTTTGTTATCGTCTCCCTCGAATGACAAATGAGGTCTCAATTTATAGGAAAGACAAAGGGAAAGTTATCGCCAGGTGTTTAAAATAGATTGGTGGGGGAGTTATTGTAACTTTCTCATCGAAACTTCCTTATCAAGAATGTTGCGTTCTTTTATCATAATGAACATCTTCTTTGCTTTTCACTTCTCATATGTCTATCTGCTTATCTTTTTTTTTGGATAAACAGAGGGTTCACATATTCTCAAATTTACATGAGGTGTTGTCATCCTCAACTTGATTTTCATTTATAAGAGATACTATCCCTCACATTGATTTTGATTTATATGAGATACGATCCCTCATATTAGTTCCATTGATAAGGTTTGTTGAGCTCCTTAAATTCGACAACTACAAAGGGAAGGCGTGACTCTCTGAATTAATTAATATGGAAGGCTTACCTTTATTGATTAGATTTATATAAAGTACTATCCCTCATATTTATTTTATTGACAAGGCCTGTTAAGCTCATCAACTTTGACAACTACAATGGGATGACATGTCTCTCGGAATTAATTAATACGGATGACCTACCTTCATTGGATTATATTTATATGAGGTACTATCTCTCACATTAGTTTTGATTTTTTATGAGGTACTACCATCCTCACAATAAGTTTTATTTATTAGGCTTGTTGATAATTTTTTGCGTCTACAAATTGCCCCCCTTGGCTTACGTGTTTGGTTTTTTTAACCGAGTGCGTGAGTACAAGTTTTTTTGATGCTGTTAT